GCCCTCTACCAGCAATCCAGATCTAAGCACCCTTTGGAGTTTGACATCCATGCCCTACAATGTACCAACTTAGCAATCAGATCCTTTGTGTCTACCTTCCTGGAATAGATTATTAACTCAAGTGGGTAGAGATACTAACCTACTTGAGAGACCATGATCATGGTAATAAATACTGGCAGGAGCATCTACCGGCCAAGTTCAAAGAAATCAAGATGGCAGCCTCAACAGCATGATCCAAGCTTCCATTCTCTTGGACTTTTCTGGCCATGAGGACAAGCCCGAACACTGAGATTTCTAATCCATCTAAACTAGCCATCCTAATGCCAGCACCAAGCGTCATGCATGGAGACGAGTCCTTAGAGATGCGATTGGCATCCCACCCCTGGACATGGGACATTCCTTCAAAATGGCTGCTGTGAGCATCAGCTTCCTATCTTGGACCCCAGACCATTATTTTGTTCCCCAAATACCAAGGGGACTTGAGCCCACCTGCACGATTAGAGAAAGGAAAGAATATTGACAAATGCTTGTTCGAAGCAGAGGGAAAAATGGAATAGCAACCAAGAACAATCAAAACAAGCCAGCCATACTTTAGAGAAAGGCACCTCCATGTATGTATTTTTTTTTTCTGAAGAAAGGATGGATTTCAGGAATCGGATGGCTTAGAAACCTTTCGGCGAGAAAGGTTGCCTTCTTTTTATAATTATGGTCACAGCTCGCTCCCCCAGAAGTCTCCAGCACCCCTCTGCAATTCCTCCTGTGCATTTTTAAGGATTACTCTCGGTTCAATTACCTTAATTGCATGGCTGGGCTCAATGTAACACGATCTGTACAGAGATGGCTGGTTACATCCTAATTGCCACAGACTTTTTCCCCTCTGATACATGGATTCGTCTTTCCTTTTTCTCGTTAGCCAGAAAATGCAACAGATTTTCTTGTCCAGAGAAGGAAGAGATGTGCTCTACAACAAGTTGTAAGTATACACCCAGTTCTTAAAGAGCCAGCAAGCAAAGCAACCCCAAAACTAACAGGAGACAAAAGAAAACCCCTGCTGTCTTCTTGGAGGTGAACTGGATCAGTTCTGCTTCATGAGCTGAGCTAATTTGTTTTCACATCCCAAACCCAACATGTTCGGGTCTTTTCTTTTCTTTTTAAACACAACACCCTAGTTCAGTCATTGTGTTGGCTGCATCCCAAATACAGGAGTCAAACTGATTTGCCATGCAAAATATTCAACTACTGAATAAATGTCACAGAAAAGCAATGTAAACACATTACTCTTGAAATCCAAAGTATTTGTATGGTTGCTGAAGCTCACAGCTCTCAAGGACAGAGCAGAACAAAAGAAAACAGGGGAAAATATATTCAGAAACCCTTAAGCAGCAGCAATTTGACCCAACCTTGTTGAAGGATCGGGGAATCGGCTATGAAATGCCCACTTCAGAAAGCAAAGGACTTTCCAAACACATCACAACAGAGACAAGACGAATCAATGAATTGGTGGCCACACCGTCCCAACATGTCTTACTCCAATTCATGCACATCTATTGGGGAGTTTTTTCCCCTCCTGTAAATACCCACGGTGAAGCTTTAGATCAACATGCTCAACACCTGATTAGGTTCTTGGGCGGGAAGACACAAAACCACTGACACTCCTTACAACAACGGAGAACAAAAATGAAGCAAAGCCGTCACTCTGGGAAACTTCAACTGGCCTTACGATCGGACTTCAACTCTCCTTAGCTTTGCAGGCCGGCAAAAGTTGTAAATGCAAGGACGGTGGTAATGTTATTTCTTTTTTCCCATCATCGCTGTGAAGGATTGCTAAATGAAGCAGTCGCTAAAAGAGGACTACCTATGTTCTGTTTCTCCAGAAAACAAAACTCTTTTGGACTGGGGGGGGGGAGTAAAGAAGCCATTTAAATCAACCTCACGATTCTTTCCCCCCCAATTTGCATTCTTGGATCAAAAGATGGCGAGAAATAAATGAAGATTCCATGTTTAGTGAAGCCAGCCTAGAAAGTCAGGCGGCCATTTCTGGGCTTATCAACTTAAACCTCCATTTTTCCCCCCTATGGTTGCCAGAGATTTTTTAGGAGAAGGATTGGGGTGAAGTACGAAGAGAAGCTAAAATTGGCTGTACCAAGAAACAAGGTGATAGAGTGGTGACAAAGTCACTCATAAAAGAGCTGGGATGAAAATTCCTCCTCGGTGAATATTCTACTCTAGCTTTCCTTTCTGCAAAGTAAGGCTATGGCCAGTATTACAAGGCCCCTGCAGCCCCCTTTCTGGGGATTGGGCCTGTATTATTGTGGCTGTTACTTGGCTGAAGAGGAACCGAGTTCCAGCCCGTTTCCTTCCTTTCCAGATGGAATTGTGGGCTTGCTTCAGTCTTTTCAGCCCAGGCATTTTGCTCCCCTTCTCACCAGGACCGGTGGGCAGCAGTCTGTTGCTGGATAATCAAGGGCATTTAGGAGGACCCCTTTTGCTAAAACAGTATTTGCTATTTTCATGCCTGTGGCAGCCTGTACTGGATGCTTCCATGCAAAAACTTCCGTTTATTTATATCCTGCCTTTTTATTTGTATTTTACAAATAACTCAAGGTGGCAAATATACCCAACACACCTTCCTCCGCCTATTTTCCCCACAACAACCCTGTGACGTGGGTTGGGCTGAGAGGAAGGGACTGGCCAAAAGCTACCCAAGCAAGCTTTCATGCCTAAGGCAGGATTAGAACTCACCACCACCTGCTGGTGATTGGCTCAAAGTCACCCAGATGGATTTCATGGCTAAGATGGGACTAGAACTCCCAGCCTCCTGCTTTCCAGCCTGGCGCTTAACTGATTCGTTACGGACCCTTGGTATTTGCACTGGTCCAAGCCCTTTGCTCCTTCCTTGTCCTTGTATAAAATATCAGAATAAAAACTGATTTGCATGGATATACAACCCTCATTGTTCACCACTGACCTTCCAAAGTTGGGGGAAGAACTGAATGCACACCAGGAAAGGTATATTTAAAAAAAGAGGGACTTCCGGTTTGAAGGGCTTCGGCGACAGACAGAAATCCGCAATCGTGTGCGGTTTCTGCCTGGGCTCGCCGCTGGAGTGCCCCGAGCTGGCTGGTTTCGGGGTTAAGCCACCCCATAGAGGTGGTGAAGAGTGGGGAGACTGCCAGCAGGGTCGAGGAGAGCCGCATCTCTCCTCCTCAGCTGGCCATTACTCCCTTTCCCGAAGGCGGTTGCAGCGGTGGTCGGAAACGGCCACCACAAAGGAGAACTCAACCGGAAAAGAATGTGCAGGAGGAAGATAAGAAGTGAAAGTTTTGGCTGACCGGGTTAAATTGTAAAAGCAACAACTAAGGTACCCTGGAATTTAAACTTACAAAAAATAACATCGCTCCCAAAGAAGAGTCGGAAGCAACGAAGGAAAGGGAAAAGGGAAAACTTCAACAAGACTTCTAAAAGATACATTTTAACTGAAACTTTGCAACTAAATAGTAACCCCAGGAAGAGAAAGTGAAAAAAAAAGAGTAAAAAAGAAACAGCTTGCGTGTATTTGGATTATTTGGGGATCTTTGGATGCTTGGTTATTATATTTGAATGACTAAAATCAATCGGGTGGTTGTTTAAAAATTTATACAAATGCACCACTTCTGGATGAATTGAAAATGGAACTTAAAGTACAAATAAGATGCAAAAGAAGGGAAGGGTTCTTTTGGCTTCGTTTTTCAATTCTTAGAAATGGAAATTTGGAACTCTGAGAAACAACAAGAAATGACTGCAAACCAAGAAGACTGGGACAAAGAAGAAGCCATCTTTAATGAACAAGCAATTTTATGTGGGGAAGAAAAAGGAAAGGGGGGAAAGAGAATGGAGAATTTAAGACTTAAAAAAACAACCAAAGAAAAGAAAAAGAATTAAAAAAATAAGTATAATACTGGAAAGCAACAGAAAAGGGGAATACAGAAGAGAGAAATAGAGGTAGCGAGACAAGGGGGTAAAAAGGGCAGAGAGAAGAAGAGAGGGAAGAAGGAAAGGAAAAGAAGTTACAAAGGACCGGAGCAAGATATAGAGAAACAGGACCTATTTAGAAATAATGGGTGAAAATCTAACTGAAAAAGGGATTCTGTAAAGGTACATAAGATTGTACTGTTATATTAGTAATAGAAATAACTTTAGAAAATTGGAAACAACGTATGATTAAAATGAGGCATAAAACAGTGTAATTTAGTGAAATGTTTGTGAACAAAATAAGTGAAATAAAATAAATGAGAAAATTGAATTAGGAAGGAACGGGAACATTTTAATTAGTTAATGTTTTATAAAATATAAGTGAAGGGGGGGGGAATTAACTAAGGAAAGCTTATAAATGTTCCCATAGAAGTATGATATTTGATTGAAAAATAATGTTAAAGATGTTAAGACCTTAATGAATATTAATGATAGAATTGAATTGGAATGGAATGTTGTTTTAATTATATACATTTATAATTTTTTCTTTTTTTAAGAATACAGTGTGAATTTTAAGAATGTACCAAGCAGAATTCGAATGGAAGTTATGTATTATATTGAATGTTACAACTTTAGGGAAAAGATATAAAGGCGTCATACTCCAATCAGTAACTACAGGAGAAATTTTGTTTAATGAGAAAAGATAATAGATAATTGAAACAGGACAAAAAATATAAATACAAGGATTTGAATTGAGATAATTAAAATAAAATTGAGAAAATTAAAAGAGGGGAGAAGCTATGCAGAAAATGTAAAATAGTAATATGATATGGAATAGAATATAAAAATGAGCATGAACCTGAATTTATGTCTGTACGAAGAAATGTAACCCGGGATTACGCTACTTTCAAAAAAGATGTTTTATTTGTATTTTTTTTCTCTTTGTGAAAACTCAAATAAAATTTACAAAAAAAAAAAAAAGAGAGAGAGAGAAAAACTTTCTGGTCTCCAGAGCACTCAGCAGAACAGGTGTGCTAGCCCGTCCTTACCTTCAGGGAATCAAAGCAGGCGATAACGCGTCCGTTTTCCACATGGCAGCTCCGGGAAGGGTGGGCAAACTTGCACTCTGTGTCAGAACGAGAGCAGGTTCCTCGCTGGAACTCCCGACAGACTTCCAGCGTCAGCCATTTTGTGTCACGAACCAAGGAAACGTTCAGCGCCATATTTTAAAAACTGCCCCCAAAGGGGGTTAAAAAGGGTAGGAACAGGGGGAACACAATGTTCTTCGGGTGAATAGATTTCTTTTGAAGAAAGGGAAAAGTGTGTGTGTGTGTCTGTGTCTGTGAGGGGATTTCTTTATCAAAAGGAAATTCAAGTTAAAAATGTGAAGAAATAACTTTGTTGCTTTGGTAAAATTTCTATTCGTCAGCACTTAGGTTTCATTGAACTCAAATTATGCTTGTTGAAAAGAAAAGGTTAAACTTTTAGCCAATCATAAAATAGAAATCTCATCAGAATTAACTAAAAAAATCAAATTAGAGGCCAGCTCCTAAAAGTGCAATTGTCAAAGTTAAAATAGAAATGTTATATATTTATATATGTTTTTATATATATGTATATATGTATATATATATATATTTATGTATATATATATGTAATGTTTTGTGCCACTGCCAAAATTATTTCAAAACAACTTGCATTCCTCTATTACTGCGTCCTCACAGGTTTCTGTGCTCTCAAGTTGTGGGTTTCAACTATCCCCGCACAAAACCAGATCAGTCCAAGAAAACACAGCTGCAACGGTACAGGCTGAGGGGAATGTTTTTTGTTTCTTGGCAGAAAAGAAACCTTTAGCAAGTTTCTATCCTTTCATCCTGTGCCTGAAACATTTACAAAAGCTGCAAGCGTTAATACCGAAATGTTTCTCTTTTTTTTTTCTATTTCCTTCGGTTTGTTTTTGTCTTTCTTCTTCGTTTCTTTTTTGTACAGGATCGAGTTTGTTACATAGTTGGGAAGAAGAAGGGGGCACAAAGATGACCGTGTGGACCAAATGGAAAAAGGTGAGGGAAAAGACAAGCGATGGCGGTTGAACCGCTGGCCGAGATGCCCCGCGCGCACCGAGCAGCAGCAACGGAGGGGGTCTTCTTTCCAAAGAAGGGGGCAGGCGGAAGGGCTCGGAGGCGGCTGAGGGTGGTGGGCGCTCTCGATCCCCTTCGCAGTGCAGGTGAGGGAAAGCCCAAGTCGGGGGTCGAAGCAGCTGTAGCGATGCCAGTTTCAAGGAAGGCACTTTTCAGCGACCTGCAGGGAGGAGAAGAGACAGCAGCTCAGCCAGGAGGGAGCCTCACTGCGCCCAGATCCCACCCCAAGGAGCCCCTGGACAAGACTCTCCATCCCAGAGGCCTCAGGAAACAGAAGCCGCCCACTGTCTGATTATCGGTCTTTTCCTCCTTAATTGCAAAAAAAAAAAAAAAGAGGCGAGAGAGAGAAGGGCACTTTCTACCAGAAGCTCCACACAGTAAGGAGGAAGCAGCCAATGACAGGTCTCCTTGCAACCCAGCGTCTGGGCAGGCACCCAATAGAGGACCTTGTTCCATATTGATCTCATCCTGGCACACATTGGCTCGCCTTTCCCCCGATGGCTCATGCTCGCCTCCCCTCCTCCCTCCGTGCCACTGTATGCAAAAGGCCTCCGCCGCCGGCTGACCCGATGGACAGCCAGCCCCTCTCACTCCCCACCTGGGGCCCAGACACCCTCAAGGAGCCTCCGGACGGCCCGGTCCCCACCCAAATATGCTCCTGGTGCACGGAAGGGTCGCCATCACCAGGGCCCTGCAGACAGGCTGGAAACAGCTCCTGCTTCCTCCCCTCCCCGTCGCCCACCCCATCCAAGCCCATAATTTTTTGGGGGGTGGGGGTGGGGGAGAAGAACAGCCACAGATTAGAGCTGGACAAAAAACAACAACAAAAAAACCCCTGGGTGGGGGAAGCCATGATGCCACCAAAGACAAAGGAAAAGGCAAACGGCCCTCCAGGGGTGGGGGGAGCTGCTGCTGGCTTCTGCAACCTTGTCTGTTGACGGGGAGCCCGGCCATGAAGCCCTCCGACAGCCATTATGCCAGCAGTCCTCCGCTTCACACTTAACGCCCTCCGACTGAGGCAGGGGCGAAGTTTCAGGAGAAGCCACGAGGTCTTTCCTTCATCGAATGGCATTCCCCCCCCCACTCCCACCAATCCTCTTCTGGAAAAAAACAGCACAAGGGCAGGCTGAAATTTCAGCCACGTCCAGGAGAGAAGGGACTTGTTTCTTTTCTTGTTTAAAAAAAAAAAAAAGCTAACTCTTGCAACAGCTGGATTTTAGCAGCAGCCATCCCTCCTCCAGCTGTGGTGTGTGTGTTTGTGTGTGTGTGTGTGTGTGTGTATTTCCCATACAACCATGAATTCAGGTTCTTCTCTCAACGCAACCAACACAACTTTGGAGAGCAGAAACAGCCTTCTCCACACCCCAAGTGGAGGACTTCAGAAAAGCCTGGCTGAACTGTCCCAAGGACCAATCTGTGTCCCCAGAGATGAATTGCACCATCCCGATTTGCAGAACTCCCAGGTTTGGTGATCCTGGCTGGAAGCGAGTCCCACCTGCACCCGCTACTCTTCCTTGCCAAAGGTCTCTCGGAGGCCCATCAAGATTAGCCCTTCTCTGCCTTTCGTTCCCGGCATCCGGCGGCATTCAACAGCAGCACAACTGACCTGCTTCCGAATCATGACCGAACACAACTTAACAGGAGGCCTGGTGGATGTGGCCAAAGGTGACCCTTGGTTTCGGGGTGTCTTCCCCCTCTTTTGGGAATGAGGAGACCGTCAGCACAGCCCACCCTCCTTGGAGTCTTTTGGAATCTGATGAATCGCCGGATGCTCCAGAGCAGAGGTCTCCAACCGTGGCCACTTTAAGGCTTGTGGACTTCAACTCCCAGAGTCCCCCAGCCGACGGACATGCCTATCCCAAGGGTCCTATTCCAGGCACTGGAGCCCAAGTTTCTCCCAGCCGCACCAGAGGGATGAAAGAGCCACATGTGGCTCCAGAGCCCCAGGTTGCTGATGCCTGGCCTAGGTCCAGGCCTGGTTTGGACAGGCACTCAGGCATAGTCAACCCAGCTGATGGATGCTCTCTTGTGGGAGAGGGACATTAACATACAATTCATCACCTTGAAGGCTCTGGCACTACTTCTTCCCATCCACTACATGAGGAGTTGGGAAAAAAGTGGGCGCAGCTCGGCAAACAAGCCACAACAGGCTGTCGTATGGGTTGGAATGAGGAGGAATTCTTCTAGGAATCACACCCATTTCAAGCCAAGCAAAAGACCTGGGCAGCTTTTGGCTTCTCAGCTGAATCAGAGTCCATGGTTGAAGGTCCTCTCCCGGCCTTTTACAAAAACCACCAGACCCTTTTACAACTCCTAGGATTCCCAGATAGCAACTTCAGCTCAGGACGATGGGTGCTGTCACTTCCAAGTCATCGAGAGGACCTCAAGGCAAGGACTTTAGCTTTAAGGGCTTGCTGCTAAAATACTTAAGAAGCCCATTGAGCATTAATTGCTCAATGACATCAAGATCTCAACGTGGGCTTTGCTGCACGCCACCCAATTCACATGACGGTGAAAGAGGGAGGAAAGGAGGCCCATTCAGACGTGCAAGCTTCTGTCGGTACGGCTGCTGTAGGCCTAGAACCCTCTACAGCAGAGGTCTCCAAACTTGGCAACTTTAAGACGTGTGGACTTCAACTCCCAGCTATGTTGTCTGGGGAATTCTGGGAGTTACCATGTTTGGGGACCCCTGCTCTAAAGATAGACCTCGACTTACCACAGTTCATTGAGTGACCGTTACAACAGCCCTGGAAAAAATGACTTATGACCGCTTTTCACACTTATGACCGTTGAGGCATCCCCATGGGACACGTTATCAAAATTCAGGGACTTGGCAACTGGCTCGCAATTTATGATGGTTGCAGTGTCCTGGAGGGGGTCACGTGGTCCCCTTTTGCGACTTTTTGACAAGCAAAGTCGATGGGGGAAACCAGACCCATTTCACAACCATGAGACCAACTTAACGACTGCAGTGATTCACTTAACAAAGGTGGCAAGAACGGTCAAAAAAACGGAGCAAATTTCCCTGAAACAGATGTCTCACTGAGCAAGAGAAATTTTGCCTTCGTGGTCTGGGCTACCTTGACACCAGTTTTGAAGGATGTGCTTCCCTCTCCTTATTAAGATAAAAACTAATGTGAATTAGCGGGAGGGCCTGTCTGACTCTGTCTTCATAAATCAGATTTTTAGCTGGGTTCGAGACACATTTACTTGACTGTTGCCTTGGCAGCAGATTTTTCTTCCGTCCTTCAAGGCCATCGCCACATTCCCTGCCTGCTCCAACCGACCCCACAGCACTAATGGGGAGGGGAAAAGGCCTAAGTCACACCCCTTGTGCTCCACCATTCAGGAGGTCAACAAAGGAAGGGTGATTTAAAAAAAAGTTAACTGAACAATGAGGACATTGTGCCAAGTTAACCTTTCTTTCCCTCTCGGTCTCAAGATCAACCTCCTACGTTTTGAGGAATCTCCCCCGAGAGGGGATGGAGTGCAGGAATGATGCCTGTTTTGGCAAATCTAAGCCGTTGGCATGCAGGGCAGCCGGGAGCCTGGGTTAGTGCCCGGCCATTGGGGGACAAAGAGAGATCATCACGTAGGAGCATCTGCAGGAAACGGTAACAATCCCCTTTCCCTCTCCTCGTTGCTAGAAAACACATTCCGACTTAAAACCGAAGGAGCTACTCAATTAACACAAGGATTTCACAAGGTGGATAGACACTTCAAGTACTTCTCTGTGAACATTCTGTCCCCAAAGTTTAAACCAGGGCTGTCCAACCTTGCCAACTTTAAGACTTGTGGACTTCAACTCTGGCTGAGGAATTCTGGGCGTTGAAGTCCACAAGTTGCCAAGGTTGGACAGCCCTGGTTTAAACGGTAAAGCAACCTGGGAAGAAGAAAAACGCCCTCGGTTGTTTAACCTGTCCCTGCCCCAAAGGTGCCCGAAAGGAAGGTTCAAAGGCACGGACTGGGCGGCAGGGTGGTCAACTCTAGAGCGACAGCCTCGCTCATGGTCACACAAGCCTCGTCCCACTTGGATTACGGCGATGTGCTTTACATGGAGCTGCCCTTGAAGAGTACTCAGAAGCTACAACTGGTCCAGAAGGCAGACATGTTGTTGTTTCAGGTTTGTTTTTTATACAGGCTGTCCTCGACTTACAACAGTTCATTTAGGGACTCATGCGAAGTTATGACGATGGCACTGAAAAACCCATGACCATTTTTCACACTTATGACAGTTGCAGCGGCCCCACAGCCAGGGGATCAAAATCCAGCCACTTATATTTACCGGCTCATATTTACGACGATAGCAGTGTCCCGGGGTTACGTGATCCCCTTTTGTGACCCTTCTGACAAGCAAAGTCAATGGGGAAGCCAGATGCCCTTAACAGCCGTCTTCCTAACTTTTAATGACTGCAGTGATTCGCCTAACAAGCAAGTGGCACGAAAGGTCATAAAACGGGGCAAAAATTCACTTAGCAAATGTCTCACTTAACAGCAGACATTAGGGGCTCAATTGTAGTCATAGGTCGAGGACTTCCTGTAGTAACTGGTCTTACTGTGATTGCGGCAGCCCTATAAATCTTTAAAATGAACTATTTAGATTATTTGAAATCTAAATAATTAGCTGGGTTGGGAGACCTCAACAAATGGGCACCTGGTAAAATGCAACTGCCAGGGACTGTTGACTTTTCGTCGGTTTGAAAATTCTGGCCTCTCGGGTTTTAAGATGCCATTCAGCCTGCCGTGACTTCTGCCCGACAATCGTGCCCAGCCTGGCCAAGCGTTTCGCCCACAAGGAGGAAGCGCCGCCCTAAGGACCCTTTTCGTGGCTGGCACAGCCACGGGGACAAACGACACCTTTCATTTCAATACAGCAGATTCCTGGCCTGTGGTGAAGTGGCAGGCAAGAGCCCCGCTGGAAAATAAAAAGAAACCACACAATGCCCTGAAGTCAGTTTGTTTAGAAGCTGACCTGACTTGAATTCCGAGCCTCCGTCTGCCTTGAATGAAGCAAACCCACAATCTGCTGAAACAAAACAAAAATGCTGGCATTCCCTGCGCCTGGCTGCTTAAGAAAAAGAGGATCAATTCCCATCCGTGCATATAACCATAAATTATGGGCAAGAATTCCCAGCCTCAGATCTGTGACCACTGGGGTAA